TCCGAGCTTCCAACATTTCTTACCTGTACCGTGACTAACGTCCAAGACTGGGGCGACCTCTGGCGATGTTTGTGAACGTTTTCCATACCGGTGTTAAACGTTTGGAGCCTAGTTTATGTCAGCCTTTCAGTGTACATAGTACTTAAATAAAAAAATAAAAAATAACCTCACTTTATTTTTTTAATTGTGAAAAATAAATTACGAATCGCCTACCGCTCAGTCTCTGATCGTAACGTAGCATCTTGGATCGGAACCCGGTGCCGAAGTTTCAGGACTTATCGTTGTTTTATTCCAACGTTATACGCGATTTGCAGTTATTTTCGATTAGAAAAGGGCGGCGAATGAAGCTTGCGAGCACATGGAAATAGAGCTGACTTTAAAGTGGCGCCGTGGGTCTTTGTTTGCATTCCACTAACCCCAGCAGGTCGAGTCCAAACGGCGCCCCCAAAATCGGTGCGCTTGAACCGACGCACTTTCATCGATGCATTCGAACTGATCGACGACAATCACTGACTGCACTGTGAAAACCAAAACAAAAAAAATTATTCCTTTATTTTTTATAATATTGTAGCGCAAAGAATGTGTTATGCATGCATCATGTTTATGTGTTTGGTTGGTTATATTTATATCCATGACAATGACAGGCCTTTGGCGACATTGCTGAAGGCGAATTTAACGCCTGAAGGGGTGATGCCACCGTTTCAGCTACACCAACATGTACGTTATTTTTGTTTTCAGTTTTTTTTTTTTAGAAAGCACATACAAATAATTGAAAAGACAGATTGACGCATAGCCAATTGGCTAGTGTGGGTTCATTCACGAAACTATTATCTAGGATGCAGAGCGTTTAACATGTGAATTAAAAGACAAACTGAAAAGCAACTTAACAGAATATAGACATGATTTATTTCGAGCTATATTAATCAGTTAACGAAAGTAGTGGCCATGACATGAAAATGATTCAGGGAGAAAAGAGAAGATAGTGGTGCTTTATTAATGTTATGCGAGTTTTGAAGATCTACTGAGAACTAGCTCTAGATGTTTGTACCAGTGAATTAGATTTGTCTTTCCCCGTACACGTTGTGGCATTGTGGAAGATTAAAAAGCCCAACTAAATTTGCCCTAGTTTGACGAAAACCTTTAAGAAGTATTGTTGTTGGACCGTTTGTAATTACAATCTTATGAAACTCTAGCAATTTTGTGTTTTATAATATCCCGAACTGTTAATATACAAAGCTGATGAAATAAACTGCGTAATTCTTGTGTATAATATGAGTTGGTTATAATTCGAACGGCCGTTTTTTGTAAAATAGTTATGGGCGTGATATATGTTTCGTAGGTCGTTCCTGAAGCTTCTTTACGCTATGTTATATGACTATTAGATATAGAGAAATATATCACTTTTATCATGTGAGAGTTAACATAATGCCGAGTCTTTTGGTAAACTATAACGCGTATGATATTTTTTGACAAGTAAAGGCAATATGATGTCCCAAATATAAATGACAACAGAAAATGACACCTAAGTATTTAAATGTTGTTGCCTGTTCTATTACAAAACTACCAATGTAAAATTGCAGAATTACCAAATTAAATTTGAGAGTTATCATAATTGATACGCTTTTTGTTTGAGTGCAATATGACATATCTTTTCTTGTTTTTATTGAGGGTCCACTTGTTATAATTACACCATTTTCAGACAAGGATTAGTTCATCATTTATTACACTGTTTATGTTATCTAGAGAATGATATGAGTAATAATGGGCTGCGTCATTAGCCCTTTATTGCTGCGATCCTTCTTCATTAGTTATCCCTGGCTACGAAATGCTTTAGGTGGTTTCAGATGCGTGGCACGCACGACACACTCGCGTATACGGCCCGGGTTTATAATAATTATCGAAACAAGTTCAAGTTTATATTTATAACCCGTCATATCGTGAGATAACGTGTGAGATTACGCAGCCGGCTTAGATCCTTCAGACAGCGCGGTGGGAACAGAACAACAGTTTAGTTCCGTATGAGCGTTTATATACACTGCGCATGTTATGATAAGCGAACGCGGCTTGCGTTGGTGATAGGCGCTGACAGCGATAACAACAAATATACCTTGTCACTACATGACACTCCTTTCTCCTACGATTAGATGCACAAAACAATAAAGAACGCTTGCTTAATCATTAAGGCCATAGCGTACAACAGGATGTCGATTGCGTGTTGATCTTCGTGGTGGAGCCGGAGCTTGCGTTGCTGACTCCGTGCTCGCCTCCGGCCGCTGCGACGTTCCCGCTGTAGGTGGGAGCCTGAAGTGATAGTCCACCCTTGTGCTGGCATCCCCTTGAGGCGCCGTCCAGGCTCGTCTCAGCTGGTTCCGGTGTCTGTGATGGCGCTCCCCGTTGTCCAGTTGGACCGTGTACGACACCGGGCCTCGCACTTCCACCACGGTAGCTGCTTTCCACCGGGGTCCTGGATTGAAACTCTTTGCGTAGACTGCGTCACCCACAGCAAAACACTTTGTTGGCGACGCCTGAACCTCAGGTTCACGCTGACGATCTGGGTGAAGTCTGTCCAAGGCTGTCCTCAACCTCCGCCCCATCATCAATTCTGCCGGTGACTTTCCCGTGACAGAATGCTGCATGGTGTGTTGCTTAAACAAGAACCGCGCAATCTTGCACTGAGTTGTGCCTTCCTGTTGTTTCTTCAAAGCTTCCTTGACTTCTCTTACCATCCGTTCGGCCCTGCCATTACTGGCGGGATGATAAGGTGCTGCGAACACTGTACGAACCCCGTTCAATTTCAAGAACGTTTGCAATTCAGCACCAATGAACGCTGTGCCATTATCAGAGACGATTACGTCTGGCACCCCGTGAGTCGCAAACATTTTCCTTAAGCTGGTGACGACAGCTGAAGATTTCATTGATGGCATGATTTCTACCTCTGCCCAGTTGCTGTACGCATCCACTACAATTAGAAACACTTCTCCCTTGACTGGCCCCGCGAAGTCTATGTGTAAACGACTCCATGGTTGATCTGGCTTGACCCAGAAATGCACTGGAGCCTTGGGGTCGCTTTGGCGGTTACTTTGACACGGCTGACAGTACCGCACAAATTCTTCAATCTGGCTGTCCATCTTTGGCCACCACATAAGCCCTCTTGCTGAAGCTTTCATGGCACTCATTCCCGGGTGGTTTGCATGCAGCAACTGAAGTACCCTCTCTCTTGCCACTTGCGGGATGACCACACGGTTTCCCCACAGTATGCAATCACGATGCAACGACAACTCGGACTTCCTTACCTCGTAAGGCGCGAACGTATTGTCCGGTTGCCTCGACGGCCAGCCACTGAGGATCCAATCCTTGACCTTGGATAAGATGCAGTCTTCCTTGGTCATCCTTGCGATGTCTGCCGCCTGGAGTGGAGCATACTCGACAGCTTCAAGCAGGAGCACGTCCCCCGGTGGCTGTGGCTCGTCTTCGTCTCCCACGATTGGCAGACGACTAAGCGCATCAGCGTTGGCGTTGTCTTCGCCCCGCCTGTACTGAATGCGATAATTATACGCCCCTAACAACAAAATCCAGCGAAGCATCCTGGGCGACAGCACTTCTGGCACCCGCTTCTCTGTGTTGAACAACCCCAACAGCGGCTTATGATCCGTCACTACGGTAAAGTCTCTTCCGGCCAGGTACTGGTGAAATCTTTTCACTCCAAAGACGACTGCTAAACCTTCTTTGTCAATCTGGGCATAGTTGCGTTCACTAGCACCGAGAGTTCGTGAGGCGTATGCTATAGGTTGCTCTTTCCCGTCATCAGCCCTATGCGCCAGCACGGCCCCTACCCCGACAGGCGACGCGTCGCAGCACAAAACCAACGGCCGCTTGGGGTCATAGGGAACAAGTACTGCATCCGAGCTAAGCAACTTTTTCAGCTTTTCAAACGCCCGCTGGTGCTCACCTGTCCATTTCCATTCTTGCTCGTGGTCCAAAAGCCGATGAAGGGGTTCCGCCACTTCTGTCTTCCCCTTGAGGAAACTGGCGTAGAAATTTAACAACCCCAAGAAAGCTTGAAGCTGCTTCCTGCTTGTCGGCGGTGGCGCTTGCTGAATGGCGTCCGTCTTGGCCTGGCTCGGGTGGATACCTGCGGCATCGATTCTATGTCCCAGGAATTCAATGCTTGCTTGACTGAATTCACACTTTTCTTTGTTTACTCTTAGCTGCGCTCTGTGCAGACGCGCCAGCACGGCTGCAAGCCTTTCCGAATGTTCGTCTGCGTTGCTTCCCGATATCAAGATATCATCAAGATAAGCCTTCACCCCCGGAATCCCTGCCAATAACGTGTCGATGACTCGCTGAAACACCCACGGAGCCACCGAGATTCCAAACGGCAGCCGCCGGACCTTGCATAGCCCTTTAATCGTGTTGACGGTCAGCATTTCTGCTGATTCATCATCTAGGCTGAGCTGTTGATACGCCTGAGTTAAGTCGAGCTTGGTAAAAATTTTACTCGACCCCAAGGTCGCTAGCATCTCCGCGGTCGTGGGCAAAGGATACCCGCTGCTTTTAATAGCCTTGTTTACGGTACTACGGTAATCCCCACATAAACGCAAGGTTCCGTTTTTTTTCCTCACCACTACCAGCGGTGTCGCCCAGTTTGAGTACTCAACCGGCTCCCAGACGCCTTGTTGCACCAGGCGATCCACTTCCTTGGCCACGTCGTCCTTGAGGGCCAGCGGGACAGGACGACTCTTGAGAAACACCGGGCGGGCGTCCTCTTGAAGCTCTATGTGAACTGGCGGTCCGTTGAATCCAGGCAGGTCACTGCCGAAAACCTCAGCAAAACGCAATGTCACGTCCTCCACCTTGATCTGCTGAATTCCACTCAAACGGATGCCCAGCGACTCAAACCAGCTACGTCCGAGTAAACTGTTACCACGCTTCTTTATTACTAACAAAGGTAGCTCTGCTCTACAGCCTTTGAATTTCACTTCCACGTTTGCCCGACCCACCACGTACAATGATTCATTCGACCAGGTTACAAGCTTTGTGCCGGCTTCTTGCAGCGGTATCTGGCCTCGATTCTTCTCGATCAACCGAAACGTCTCTTCACTCACAATCGAGCAAGATGCTCCTGAATCGACTTCCATCGGAACTTTCTCTCCTTGAATGTGCACTTCTACCATGAACTTTTCAGCCTGTTCACGCACTTCGCATACAGAAAACAATGCGCTCATTTCATAGACGCCCTTGTTTTTTTCCTCCCGCTTGCGCAGGCCAGTTGGCTTCCGCGGCGTCTGATTCTCGTCTTTTGAACGACAAGCTTTTGCCACGTGTCCAACCTTTTTGCATTTGAAACAAGCAGCCTTTCTAAAACGGCATACATGCGGAGCGTGCTTACCGTTGCAGCGGAAGCAGCTGACGTCGTCCGCCTTGGTGTCCAGTTTCATGCGTGTCGCTTGAACCAGACCCTCGCTTTCTTTGGTTCCGTCTTGAGCTTGCTTGCGTATATCGCGCTGCTGCTTCTCCGTTGCCTCCGCCGTCAGCGTCATGTCGTACGCCACCTCGAACGTCAGGTCGCGTTCTGCGAGCAGCCGCTGTTGAACCGCTTCATTCTTGATGCCGCATACGAACCGGTCCCTCATCATGACGTCCAGTGGAAGCAGTTTGTCACCGAAACCGCAGTCTTCAGCCAGCTTACGGAGTGCCGTAACATACTCCGACGCCGCCTCACCCTGAGCTTGGTTTCTTCGGTAGAATAAGAATCTTGCGTACAGCTCCGAAGGCCTTGGATGCATGTGCTTCCGCACCGCCCCCTTGATGTCGTCGTAGCTCGCCGCCGTCGGTCTTGCTGGCTTGACCAAGGTCACGATCAGCCCGTAAGTGTCCTCGCCGCAACAACTCAGCAGAACCGCTCGTTTTTGCTCGTCCGTGGTTATCTTGTTTGCAGCGCAGAACATCTCTAGCCGTTCGACGTATTCATCCCAGGACGCATTCGTGCCGAGACGATATTCGCCGATCCTGCCGACCGACATCTTGCCTTACTCGACCGAGACTCGCCCGTCCGTCGATTCGCCTCGTCGCCAATGTAATAGATCCTTCAGACAGCGCGGTGGGAACAGAACAACAGTTTATTTCCGTATGAGCGTTTATATACACTGCGCATGTTATGATAAGCGAACGCGGCTTGCGTTGGTGATAGGCGCTGACAGCGATAACAACAAATATACCTTGTCACTACATGACACCTTCGAAAGCTTTCCGCGTGTGCCGACAGTCAAACTACCGCAGTCTCCTTCGAGTTATACTCAGTCCAGCTGCTTGAGTTCACGGTCGAGTACCACAAAGCAAAGACGTCGTCTTGCGGAACACGCGGTCATGGGTTCGATTAGCGTTGCGTTGCTTGGTAAAGCTCCATAATTGTTATTAATCGCGATTGAGTACGCTTTAATGGGCTTCGTGTATTTGTGCATTACCTGCTATGGGCTGTGTACGCTTTCACATTGGCCTGCTTTCCTGTAACTTTTTTCACACGCGGGCTTGTTCACACATTTGAGTTTGGTCTCAAGCGAGTGCGTCACAATCCATCTGTGATTTTCTACGGCGAGAGAACACATCGAGGTCATCTATCGGAAAGTCTTTGAACATTTGCGAGTTGCGTGTAGTTCCTAACTTTTTTTTTTTGCGCATTATTCTTTCGCCACAGGCTCGAGAAATATTTAACGACGTTATCAACGACCATATCGCGTGGATAGGGCGGTGCATTTGATCTCGCGAATAATGCAAAAACCTTCAGTGGAAAGCTACACAACAGGGCTGGGCAGGATAGTATCTTAGAGACACTTTCGGGTATCTATCTCTGTATCGAGATACATTTGAAAAATGGAACTTTAACTCATTAAGGACATACATTTACAATGTACCGCTCGTATCGCGATGCTCTGCCAGGCTTAGGTATCTCGTTACATTTGTTGTCGAAAATTGACTGTCGGGTTATAACCATAAACTGCGAACCACGTAGCTTTTTGGCGCGTGGGGTCCCAAACTTTATAGTATGAACAACCCACTTAGTACCCCTCAACAGGGAAAAAGCCTGAAACGAAAGCCCGATATATCGCAAACAGTCACAAAAATGCGAGCACCACCATTTTCCATTCGCCACGAACTGCTCGCTCCTCCCAGCACCTACCACGGTTCAAGAAAACAATATTTATTTTCGTATGTATCTGTATTTGTATCCCGGTATACTTTTTCTTTTGTTGCCATTTTAGAAGAAGTATCTGTGTGATATACCGTTACATAAAAGGCAAACGTATTTCAGTGTCACCGATTTGACCTTAAAACGCACGTATCTCAGTACTGGTATTCTGGAATACTTTTTGGAGTATTCCAGAATACCGCGCTCTATGTTGAAACCGAACCGAAGAATGTGATGCAACCTTTATGTTATTTCGTTTATGTTATACATATATATATACACAACAGAAGGTAGAAAAAGAGTAGGCAACAGACGTTGCCTCATCTTTTTCTACCTTCTGTTGTGTTCCCTTCTCTGGCCGTCTCATGTTTACAATGATGTTTTTGTTTGTTTGTTTTTTACCGCAAAAATAAACTATGCATCGCCGTCTAGCAGTTTCAAAACAAAGTGTTATCTCGTTCAAAAATTATAAGTGACATTTTGAACATTTTAAGGGGAAAATGGGGCCTGTCTTTGGCCCGTTTTGCTAACTGGCGCCCATTCAGCCCATGTATACGAGAGTTCCGTCGGACGTCATTTCCCCATTAAATTTTTTTCAGAAAATTACGTAACTTTTCATTGAGATAATGGTTAGGCTCTGAAATTTCGGCACCTGGTCTGGACAGCTAGCGCTACATCTGGGCTAAAAATGGGCGTTTAACGTTGTAGATAGTTTATTTTTTACGCTGATAAAACCCCGTTTATTGGGGGGGTGGAGGGGGGGGGGAAGGATCCCTGCACCATATACAAGTCGCTACACTAAGTGTGACATTCCACAAGCCGGAGCCCGCTGTGTGAAAGGAAAGAGACCGGAGCCGGTGCTCGGACGGCACACGCACAACGTGACCCGCGTAAACAAAATGTTTCTCATTAGCCTACCGGGCATGATTTTAGTCACGTTGCAGCGGCCGGTCCGGGTTATTTCTTCTGACATGTTCACGCACTGTTCTTGTCTACCGCTCGGAGCGTCTCGGACGAGCTGCTTCGATTCGCATCGTGTTGGTATTCAGAGTCGCATTTGGCACGGCGCTTGAATGGGTTGCCACGTTTCGTTAGAGAGAACTGAAATAGGGGGAGTGACGGCTGGCGCGACGGTTTGCAGAGAGGCTATCGGGGCGAATGCGTTACCTACAAAACGATCGTGACGCCACCTTACGTGCGTTCTTTTTTTAAATAGGCGTACATTATGTCGGAGAAACCGGCGTTTCCGCATGTAGCGAGCGACTCTTCGCGAAAATACCACAAGGCCACGCGCAAAGCACCTAATGAGTAGACTTCTTTTCAAAAGCCCGTCAGGCAACAGTGGCAGTAACCATTTCTTACGAAAGACTTGTGCTAGGTGGCGCAAGCTACCGCCCGTTACAAAGGGTATAACCATTAAGATCCATTCTTGGGCCCGAAGAGTGTGATCGGTTCCGAGTCTTCGCCGAATCCTGACTCAGCGCTCCTGTCCAACATATGCTCAGTATACGTGCTCAATACAATGGCGGACTGGAACAATTTGCGCGGCAGCTACTTCAAAGATGGCGCGCACTTTTACAAAGGATCGATTTCAATTGGGCTTCCCTCGTCTCCCGGAGGGGCACCGTAGGGTTGCGGCTTTGAAAACGTGTGGGTGAATCGGGACGGTTCCTCGAGCTCCTGTCATGCTGCGCCATCTCACGGCGTTTGTCCGAAATGGGGGCGAATCTTCGACACACTCGCTCCGTGGCGAGGTGGCGCCATTCAGACCCCTCTCTTCTTCCACCGTGTTGTTCACAGTTTTCCTGTCTGCCCTCGCCCGTTCCATCGCGTATCTTCCGCGATTGCCTCTAAGGTCGCCTCCGTCGTTTGCTATACGGTGAGCAAATGTTCCAAAATGCGTCTTTGGAGTGGCACGTCAAACGGAAGGCAAAATGCGCGGTGATGATTCGTAGGAAACAAAAGCACGTGTGCGCATTGGGCGGGTAGACAACCGCAGTGTGCAAGGAGCAGACCAACGTGCGCGCCGTATAGCCGGTTCTATACAGCCAGTTCCCAGCGTCCCTTTCGGCGCCGAAGATGGCGCTGCATGCTTTGCAAAAGGTCTCCTGAGACAAGCCGTTCCCATGGCGATGGATTAGATGGAAAAAGTTTATCGCGGACTCTAAAGGCCCGTTCACACTCTTGCGACCGAGTACGACTGAGAGAGACGAGATCTCTTAAAACTTCTTAAATGCTTTTAGAATCAGGGAACACACTGGCATTGTGGCGCCATCTATGCGATGACCCTGGAACTGCATTTCACAAGAGCGAAGGTTTTGCGGGATTTCCGAGGTCAAATGTGCGTAATACCCATAGAAAGGCTCGTTTATAACATTGACAAAAGTTTTTCGAGCCAAGAAAGAAAGGATAATGCGCGAGAAATAAAAAAAAAAAATACGCCGGACCGCCGAGTTTACACCGCTTCCCAATAGATGGCACAAGTGTGTTCTCTGGTTTAAGAAGTTTTAAGGAACCCAGGTTTAAGAGGTCGCAAGGGTGTGAACGGGCCTTAACGCTCCTCTGAGCTAATCCTTCCCGGTGATGAAACTCGGGAACTAAAACAACAAATGGTGCAAACGTTAGGGACCACGCCATTCGTGCACGTCGTCCGCGTCGGTACCCGTTATTAATATATATATAATTAGGCTGTTCTCATTTTTTACTAAAACTGAAATACTCCTTGAAATTTCGCGAGGTAAAATACAAATTTAAAATAGTTATTAAACAAAAATTTGAGTTAACTACGTGCAGAAGCAAAGTTTGCCGGCTGGTTTTACAGTTATAGCATCTACAGCGTGTACACCAACGCTTCGATCCCAATTTGGACGGTCCGCATAAATCGACCTCTTAGCGCATGGCGCTAAGATTTACTACGGAGATGCCCGAAAGTAGTGGAAGTTTGCACTAAAATTGAGGAAAGATTGGCTCATGTGTGTAAATGGCGTAAAATCAAAAACTATATATTCCTACTTTGCTTGTACAGACTCCATATTTTTTTATCAATATCGCGAGAACTCCGACCGGCGGGTAGATCGGCGCCTTATCGCGGCGTGAATCAGCGAGTCAACGAGGCTAGGCGTGTGCCTTCTGCCACACGCGCGTAGTCTCTCGGACATGGTCTTTCACACCCCGAACTGATCCACCGGCTGGTCGGTGTTCGCGTGATATTGTCAAAATATCGAGAATATGTAAACTTAAATTATTTAAAAAATTCAATATGGCGCTTATTTTGGGCCAAATGAAGTCAATAATAGGTACGCCAAAAGTATTTTCTTTCCATTTCACCGATTTGTCTGTCATATTAAACGCTAGAATATCTCAGAGCAAATAATAAATGATTTTTAGAAAAAAGAAAGTTTAGCGATATATATATATATATATATATATATATATATGGGATTGAGTGACGATTGACAAGTGCAGCCGTAGTAATATTGAGAACGAAGAGGGGAGAAGGTGATTATTGAATTTTATTGCATTAAAGTTAGGGAAAGGGAAAGGGAAAGAGAGCTGGCGAAAAATTGGGCCAGGAGCGGGGATTGAACCCGCAACCTTCGCCTGACCGGGGCGACGCCTTAACCGATTAGACCATCCTGGCCACTGGTTTCGGCGGACTCAATTTCTGACCAGCTCTCTGTGTACTGTTTAGTTTCGAATTCGCTTAACTGGGTAGACGACAACCGTTGCTGATTTAAGGCCCGCGCTATTTTTCGCCAGCTCTCTTTCCCTTTCCCTTTCCCTAACTTTAATGCAATAAATTCAATAATCACCTTCTCCCCTCTTCGTTCTCAATAT